GACTTCGCTCGCTCACGTGACTGTGTCAAGGCCGGAAGACGTAATTACGATGTCGACGTCAGCAAAAGCGTGCGCGCCACCTTCAGAGGAAGCTGCACGCGGGATGTGTGGGACATAATGGTGGATAGGTAGGGAACACACTTAAGCTCGCTAAGAGTAGCTCTTCAACTGTTGATCAATTCCCAGTTGTTGTCTTGGACTCTTCCATCGCTCTGACCCGACAACCGCTCGCTGCTGCAGCCCGCTTGGACTGGACGACGCCCTGGACCACAGAAAAATGCCGAATATCAAAATATTTAGCGGTAGCTCACACCCGGACCTGTCTCAGAAAATAGCGGACCGCCTCGGTCTCGAGCTGGGAAAGGTTGTAACAAAGAAATTTAGCAACCAGGAAACATGGTGAGTTGTTTGCTTTGTTTTGTAGCTACTTTTAAAAAGGCTTAGATTTTAGAGGTGTGTCTGGTAGGCAAATATCGTAGCCTAGCGACATGTATTAATGGGAAACGTGGTGTCACGGTGAAAGTGCCGCGCACTGTTGTCAGGAACTTGTAGTCCATGCGTTCCACAGAACTAATGCTAACCAGCTAATTCTCAGCACCAAAACCGCCTCAAAATAGGTTTAAAGTGCCATCATGTACCGTCTAGAGACTGTCATTTCCGGACTGCACGCTTCTTTTTTTACCCTCAGTTTAACGCTTGTGCAGATCAGATCACAAAGGCAAACACGAGCCACTGTTTACTCTCCCTCATCCATCTCCTACCTGCCATGATGTGTTAGCTCCTTAGCCCTAATTGTTTGTTTTTGTCACTTTCTCTCCTCTGGCAGCGTGGAGATAGGGGAGAGCGTGCGTGGGGAGGATGTCTACATCGTACAGAGTGGCTGTGGAGAGATCAATGACAATTTGATGGAGCTGCTGATCATGATAAACGCCTGCAAGATTGCCTCCGCCTCCAGGGTCACTGCTGTCATCCCCTGCTTTCCGTACGCCCGGCAGGACAAGAAGGACAAGGTGGGGGTGAGGGATATCTGTCTACTTACTTCTGTCATGCCATTTGCCATCCAGCACCATGACAAGAAGCCTGCAGCCATGCCCATCAGCCAACAGGGCATATTTGCTTTTCTTTGTTTTTGTTCCCTCCTCTGTATTGTTTGCTAAGTTAACTTGAATTGCACTTCCATACCTCCCCATGCAGCTGTTTGGATTTTTATTTATTCCCTTTTTGGCATTTTAATCATACAGCACAAATCAATTTTACATGTTAATCTACTAAATAAAAAATGTTAATATAATATTGCAATGTGAGTTTGCTCTGTAGCAGGGCCAAACCCATCATTCTCAACTGTTTTGGCTATTCTAATGAATGCCTTTTGTAGCTAAATCAACCCATCTACCTTTTATATTGTCAGTACTAATGTATAGTGTCACTATGACAGGGTAACCTGCAGCATTTGGCTGCTATAATTTTACTGAACTGCTAAGCTCTCTTAAGTGTTATTTTTAGAACTGAGCACTGCTTGCCAGTTTGCTTATTCCATGTGACTAACAAGAGCTATTTTCATTACAGAGCCGTGCCCCTATCTCTGCCAAGCTGGTGGCCAACATGTTGTCAGTATCAGGCGCTGACCATATAATCACAATGGACTTGCATGCTTCACAGATCCAGGTGAGCAACACAACAGTACATGCAAACAGACTTGTTTCTCATATTGGTCAGCCCTGCAAAATCACCATTTTGGTTTGCATTTTAAACTCCCATGTGGCTGATATGTGAAAATTTGCATTGTGAATCTTGTTGTTTACTTGGATACTATAATAGAAAATGAAAGCCCATATGTTTAACCGGTGTGTGTGTGTGTGTGTGTGTGTGTGTGTATATATCTCTTATTTGCAGGGATTCTTTGATATACCCGTTGATAACTTGTATGCAGAGCCAGCTGTTCTGAAATGGATTAAAGAGAACATCCCAGAGTGGAAAAACTGCATCATTGTCTCACCTGATGCAGGAGGAGCCAAGAGGTATGCTCCCACAGGAGTTCTACCTTTAACCATAGCTTAACCTTTCCATATCTTCTCTAGAGTTTAATTTAGATTAACATTCTGTTGGCTTTACCTATCTCAACAGGAGTTTAATTTGATATGTAAAAGTAGTTTAAACACAGAGCTTTAACTGGTGCAATGCTTGCTTTTTCTTTTGCAGGGTCACATCAATAGCAGACAGGTTGAACGTGGACTTTGCTCTTATTCACAAGGAAAGGAAAAAGGCGAACGAGGTGGACCGCATGGTTCTCGTCGGAGACGTGACCGATCGGGTCGCCATTCTTGTGGATGATATGGCCGACACATGTGGCACAATCTGCCATGCTGCTGACAAGTAAAGCACTTTCTTAATCTTTTAAATTAAGTAAATTTTGAGCTTTGCTCCAAAGCAAAACGCAGAGCTATTTGGGCTACTGTGGAAACTAAGTGATCATTACTGAATCCCATTTAGACATCTATTTTGCAGACTGTGTCCAGTGATATGGAGGCTTGTAATGCATCTTGCTCTTTCTCTCTTTTAGACTCATTTCTGCTGGAGCAACTAAGGTGTATGCCATCTTAACTCATGGCATCTTTTCTGGCCCAGCGATCTCCCGCATCAACAATGCTTGTTTTGAAGCTGTGGTTGTCACCAATACGATCCCTCAAGAGGAGAAGATGAAGCATTGTTCCAAAATACAGGTCAGGAAATTGAAAACCGTTTCCAGAACAGAAATTGACATAAGAGCTGAAAAACGTCAGGTTGCTGTGTGCATTTTTGGAAAGCTGGTGTTTGAAGCTGCACAGTGTCTTACAGTTTGTGTGACATCTTGTTCTTTCTTGCCTTCAGGTTATTGACATCTCCATGATCCTTGCTGAGGCCATTCGCAGAACTCACAACGGCGAGTCCGTGTCGTACCTGTTTAGCCACGTTCCCTTGTAACAAAAGCTGTCTACCATCAACCTTGTGCTGTTAACACCAAATAAGAGAAGAGGGATTTTTCCCAACTCAAACACAACCATTAACAAAGATGTTCAGCTAATTGTTTGGAGGGAAAAGAAATGTCATGTCTGTTACTAACGCTGGCCCCACCTCACTTTAAGTCCTTTCCCTTTCAGCGGTGTACCGTCACGCCTCGGGCGCCAAAGCAATCACAAGCTACCAATTCAGGCTGGCATATTTATTTTATATGGATAAATGGTGTTTTATCCACTGTGAACTTTGTTCTTCATTCATAACTTTTCGATCCAGAGTTTCTCCTGACCATCTCACCTCTGCAGGAGTAATTTCAGTCTGTTGTCAAAGAGCTAATATGAATAACCCTGGACGGCTCCAGTGGTCAGGAGAAGCTTCTGCTATATGAAGCTGTTACAGTGCTTTTTGTTACATTGAACGAGAGTAGTTTTTTTTGTTGCTTGTTTTATCCACTGCTGTTTAAAAGATTATAATTACTGAAGTGAATGTGTTTTGAGAGAGTTTACAGTGCCACTGAAGCTCCACTCAACCAAGTGTGCCTCAACAGTCTGAAATGAAAAGATTTTTCTTGCTTTATTTTATTTCCCTCCCTCCCATGTTTCTGTTTGGATTCCCATTGGACAAAGCACTTCGGTTTGTCTTAGCAGGCTGAAAACGATCATTTTGGATATTTCTTTCGGCTCTTGAGGTGCCCTCATTGAGTGGGGTTTGCCCAGCCTTCCATTGTTGGGTTGTTTGGTTTTTAGCTTGGGGTCTCTGCAGGCTGGAGCTTCCTTCAGAAATGTTCACCTGCCTTTTATTTCTTTGTCTGGAGGAAGGAGTTGTTAGTTATGTGCATAATCCAAATCTTTGTGTTTTTATTTTTTTCAGTAGACTGAATGTGCCAGTTATTTGATGAATGCATTCTTAATACAATTAAATATGCGTCAGATCTTAAACATGGCTCTTCTATGTCTTTTTTCTGCTTAGACACATGAAAGTTGAACCCAGTTGAGGTTGTCCGCAGTCATCTTAGACCACATAAAAGTATATAGTCCATTTGAGTTACATTCTCAGTACTAGGAAAAAATGTCTTTTATTAAAATGCTGTTTAGATGGAGCTCTCAAAAACCAGGAGTGAAGGCTGCTTGAAATTTCACCTACAAATTAACCCAAGCTGCTACATGGGATCAATGAGACGTCACAGAAGGTTGTACTAGACAGCTGGCGGGTTAAACACTGTAATGTGCAATCCCACGGTAAGACATTCACAAATCACTCCACAAGCTCAACTAAAAAAAAGTTCAGCACCGCAGTGTGTGTGTGTGTGTGGGGGGGGGAAGGGCTGCAAATGTTAAATTTTAAATAAAATATTATATTTAATGTTTTGGGGTTTTGGTTTTTTTTGCAAAATGGAAAAATATTCATATTCATTCAAAATATTCAGATCAAAACCAAAATCTGCAGTATGGCATAGCACTAATGCACAATACTTTAATTAGACTGGATGTAGCTTATAGCTAATTTCCACAATGTCCTTTTTCTTGTAACCTGGCTTATTTTATTCTTTTTAGTAACCAAGGATACTTTGTATTATTTTATATTACTCCTGCATTTTACCGTAATATTTTGTGATGCCATTTTTTAATATAATCCAAATAGAGGGCTGTCTGTTTGTTTGCCCACCAGATACATTCTTGCAATCTGTAGAGTCTGCTGATAAATTTATGTTTTGAAAGGGAAGATGAGGTTCTTTATACATCCGTTATCAGTTATTGGATTAGTAACTTAAATATTTTCTTAAAATTGCTAAAATATTTTAGCTTGGCATTGATAAAACTCCGTGAAACATCAGCCTGCCGGAAACAATTTCTTCATGGGACGCACCCTTCTCCCGAAGCTCGGCGTGGGGGAAAAGGCGGTCTTGACTGACAGATGATACAACCAATCCATTGTGTCGTGACGTAGCTCGTCTTGTCCAATGATTATTCTAAAGGGGGCGGGGTCAATCACAGACACCAGCAGATCAACGCTCAGTGCGCCTTGCTCTCTAATCCCATTACAGACCCAGGTTAGGGGAGAAACAAGTAATGGAAATGGTTCAAAGGAAAATAGAGGAAGATGGTGACATTCACTGCAGAGGTAATAAATGCAAAATCAGATGTGAAGTCCAAGATGGAGAGGATTCAGATTATTGTTAAGGCAGCATGCCATAGTTTGGATAAGAAGAATATCAGGTGGGTGGATGTAAAGGGGGGACTAAGTAGTCACGGAAGTCAAGAGGGATAATGTGGTGGTTAATTTTTTATAACCACATTAATCCTAAAGTGGAATACAAGGAGTCTTTTGTCAAATGGTCAAGATTTTTAAAAAGTTTATATACAATCATACAGAAAAATCTGACATTTGTATTCAGGAAACATGGTTGAAGCCTTTTTGGGGTTTTTAGAGTGTATGATTATATTGCGGTTAGATATGATATGAAAGAAGATGAATTAAAGATATTTCATTTTTTGTTTAATGCTGGACTCATCAAGAGGATCTAAGGATATAGAAGTGATGTGGGAGTAAAACCCAGAAGATGGCAGTAGTGCAACATCGTTGGATGCAGGCTGCCTTTAAAAATGGAAGAAGAAGAAGAAGGAATTCTATTGTGGACCACTTATCGGAGGAGCATCTGTGGTAACTACGGGCACAAGCAGAAATACCCTCTCCTCATGCAGCACTGGAAAATACAATAACGACACACCTATTCTGCCTCCACATTCCTACAATGATCTGTGGAAAATAACGAATTGTTTTTCTGGTGGAGACAGCTGACAGAGTAAGTAAATGATTATGATCACACACTGTAAATTGAGTTTTTTTAACCTAAGTGTTGTAAATGGCTTTTTTCATTCATTTTTCTCTTATAACTGACTGTGCATGCCTGACTGGATCTGCTTAATTTCTCTAAGGAGAATAATGGCCGGCGGTTCTGAGAGTAAACAAGAAGAAGAGGCACTTGGCAACCTAATTGTTCATTTCCAGAGCTACTTGCATGGAGGAACCTCCAGCTTGTTGTCCACCCTTCCCACCCTTATCGTCTTTCCTGTCTATAAGACTGTTTTTCGTCAACAAATCCACAACACCTCAGTTCACAAGGCAGTGGCACAGCTCTATAGAGAGGGCCCTGTGAAGCTCTATAGGGGTGTGGCTCCACCGTTAGTGATGAGGACGCTGAACGGCACACTGCTCTTTGGCCTCCAGGATACCCTCCTCCGACAGCTCCCTCTGTCATCCCAGAATGTCATCTCTGCCAAGGCCCTTCCTGCTCTGGCGGGGTTTGGGGCAGGTGTTGTAGAAGCCGTGGTTTTTACACCCTTTGAGCGTGTTCAGAATGTGCTGCAGAACAGCCAGAATGACAGTCGTCTACCCTCGTTCAAGAGCGTCCTTCTAAGGCTAAAGGCAGAGGGGATTGCTTTGGGCTACTACAGAGCCTTCCTGCCCATTGCAGCCCGCAACGCCTTCGGCAGCTCCCTCTACTTTGGACTGAAGGGGCCTGTGTGTGTTGCTGTGGCGGAGCAGGGGGTCTCACCAATGGCCTCCTCTTTCATCTCAGGAACAGTGATATCAGTGGCAGTCAGCTTGACTCTGTACCCACTCTCTGTGCTTGTGGCAAACATGCAGTCACAAGTAGGTGGGGACGTTAAAGGGGTCATAGCATGCTGGGCTCTGCTCTGGAAATCTCGTAATAGGAGTTTGGCGTTACTGTATCGAGGAGGTTCCATGGTTATCCTGAGGTCGTGCATCACTTGGGGACTCACCACTGCCATTTATGACAGGCAGGAGAAACAATCAGGCTGAAGATTCGTGCTCCAGACATTTTTATCCACAAAAGTGTATTCAATTTTGATATTGTTCACAGGAGACATTTTGACTTATAACTGCAAGAAAAAAAACGTATTGATAAGCCTTTATAGTGTGGGAGTGAACTACCACAAGCAATTCCGGTACTCTGAAACCATAACTTTAACAATTATTCAATATATTACTTCCACCTGCGCTTCTCTGATGTTTACTGCAGTGAGTGAAGAAAATGCAGTCATACTAACAAGCTAATTTTCTGTGTCAAAATGTGCTATCAAGCTGACAGCACCACTGCTAAGACTTCTGGTCTCAGAGATGGGTTTGAATAGTTCTCCTTTGATGAAGTTGTCAGTCACATATGCTTTGAATTTTTATTGTTTTGTAAGGAAAGAAATTTTGCTTAGGACTCAAAAAACAAGAAATGCTGCAAGCCAGCCAGGCTTAAAGAACAGATGCCATAATATAGTCAGAAACACAGATTAGTTTTCTACTACCTGAGAATTAGGATTATTGTGCACTGCCGGTAATGGAATCACACAGCCACAATGTAATTCTGCAGGGGCAGTCCAAGATTTTTTGGGGCCTAAAGCAGAATTTGATTTGGGGCCCATCAACCACCCACTTTAGCGCAGCCACAATTATCCATGAATTGTCCATGTTTGATCATTTGTCATGTCATACATGATATGCCTTTCTAGTGTAGTGGAAAGAAATAAACCAAGTTAACTTTTGTAAATTCAAAACATCTGACTGTTCATACTGTTTTTTAAAATGTGCAGAATGGCAGAAAAGTATATTAATTCATAAACATACCTTTATCCCAATGCTTCCCCCTCATTTTTCTTTTTAGCAAAATAAGTCTTTTTTTTTTTTTTTACATATTTGCTGCGGTCTACTTTAAAACACTTATAGTGGGCATGAACGTGGCCGCAGCTATGACAGTGAAAGTGATCAAACCAGTAGCATTAACCTGTCATTTTATTAAAATATGTATCAAAAATATTTAGCTTTCTCTTTCATGAATACAACTTATATATCACAAAAATTTAACATTTATTAACCTGCATTGTGTGACATTTCAAATGCTCTCGGGGGGCCCCCTGCTGGTGAGGGAGCCCACAACCAGCTGCTTAGTCTGCTTATAGCTGACACATTGACTTATGCTTGTCCTACTTAAAAAAGGTCACTCCCTCTTTCTATGCTTCTATGAGGTCATTTACAACAAGCGAGTTGTTAATATCAGCCAGGTACAGCTTGACCACGCACACCCATTGACGAGAGTGCAAACTGCAAGTCGTAAGGTACTATTATTATGTGTTATGAAACAGGTTTTCTGTGCACAGAGGGAGTTATGTTGTAGTTCAGTGTAAAACACTGGCACTATACTGAATTATATTCAGTCTTACACTTTTAATGTAATCTGTTATTTCCTCAGGACTGTCAGTCTTTCTGTAGCCAATGATTGAAGGTAATAATCATTGTTGTTTTACTTTTTAAAAAGTTAATTTGAATGTCTTTTGTTTGTGTGAAATGTCATTTTTATTCTGGGCATTTTATGTGCTAAAGAGGACAACCTACTGTGACTCATTAACTCACCTGTTGTTTTATTATTATTATTTTTAAATGATCCTTTTATACTGATCCTTAGCATAAGACCCCATAAATCTATGTGCTGTTTACATCTGTGGATTGCCGTCTTTTTGCAAGATAAACAATTTCCTTCTGAAAAAAAAAAACCAAGGTATTAAGCCATGTATGGTCTCAATATATATGGTGACCATGAATCATCATATACATATTATGAATTAAAGACTGTAAGAAAATAAAGCTAAGTTTCGGTCACTACTGCACTGTTTCCTGACAGCAAGAAGGTTTTGGGGCAGGGCTAAGTGGGGCCTTCCTTTGAGGAATTTTCCTGCTCTTGCTTGTGGAAATGTCCAAACACATCCCGACTGGATGAATCAGGAAAATAATTCTTTGCTGCCTCTTGTTTAGCTAGGTTCCCCACACACACACACACACCCCAAGAGCATGCGGCTGCTTCACCTGAAGGTATATAATTTGCTTACAGCGTAGAACAGTAAAAGAACATGTATTTGACTGTCAAAACAGCATATTTTCCCCTATTTACTGCCAAACAAAATAACAGTTACTGGAAAGTATTGGTGTTTTCCCACCAAGTGCATTAACAAATTACAGTCATTCGACTTCAACTGGTTTCTTTCCCTTTCTTGTTATGATTATTTTTAAGTTGGCTTGTCATAACCCTGTAGCCCACTAGATGGTACTGTGCTAAAAGAGAAAAACGTGAAATCCATCACATCACCTACAATAGGTGTCCGTTTTTCCAAACGTGCGGATACGTGAAGGAATTCATCATGCGATTGCAACACTGCATAGGAAGAACTTTGACCCAACATATCATTTTTAAGGAGGTTTGAGAGGGCGGTGAGACATCAAGAGTGTCCAATTAAAATTCGCCTTCTGAGCTTTGAAAGCCAATGAGAGCCAGAGGACCGGTGTCCATGTTGGCGTGCACAAGGGCGTGTTGTCTCTATTTAAACCGTTGGCTTTGCACGGATTACACACACACACAGTTACCTGTTAAAGATTGTCTTGCAACGCGGTCCTACACCAGGTAAAACTCTTTAAATTGTTTTGTTTTTCCAGCTGTCTTAGCCTGCTGATAAATTATTTTTTTCTTAATTGCTAAGAAAAAAATGCGAACGAATTGTTTATTTTAAGTGATTATTTATGTGCTGTGTATTAAAATATGAAATACGTTATGCAACGTTTTGGTGTGTATCTCTTTTAGTACACTCACTGGTGTGTTAGTCACTTCAGTTATGGCGCAGGGTGTGTACAGATACCTGACAGTGCCTCATTTCTCTGCCCGCAGATTAGGGCTGTCTATAAGTCTTTATCAGGCTACCTAAGGTTAATTTTCCTAGACAGCATGGTCTTTAAGGGGTCTTTTCCCTAGGGTGGTGTTAAAAATAAAAATGCACCCATTATTCTGTGCGGTCTATTGGTGTGGACAGCAAAGAAGACAGACGCTCCCCTAATGGGATAGGTCACTGAATTTCCTAATACTGCAGTATTTATGCCCTGACTTCAGTCCTCCTGGAAATATTAAATTCCTATAAAACTTGTTCCAATGCACATGCGCTTCTAATCTTATTTGCTTAGTTGGCACAGGTGTAAAATTCTCCGTATCTCTTTAATAACTGTACATAAATGCAAATCAGTGCACAGATGCACCATTTTTCTCTGTTAACAAGAGCCATTTGTGGATTTGAATGCCACCCAGTTAAACACTACATCACGTTAGTTCACCGTGGTGAGATAGAGGTACAGATACTTGTTGTTTCAGGTGACTGCATGGTTCACATAACCTTTTTTTTTTTTTTTCTCCTCTCTCTCTCTCTCATGTCAGGTGGAACTTGGTTTATGTACATGTATGGGCATGCACTGCAGACAAGATCTTAGCATGTCAGTGAGATCTTGAAAGCA